TCTCCGTTAATTTTAAAGTACAAAAAAGGCAGATCACAGTTTGGAAATTTCAGAAAAAGGGTATTTTATGAATTTTGTTACTAGAACCAAGTTAAAACTAGTAAAATTAGGTTAACGAACAAATGCCACAACTTATTCTGAAGATCAAATGCCGCAAATTATTCTGAAGATCAAATTCCGCAAATTATTCTGAAGATCAAATGCCGCAAATTATTCTGAAGATCAAATACCGCAAATTATTCTGAAGATCAAATGCCGCAAATTATTCTGAAGATCAAATGACCATCTCTCAACTGTCCTTTTTTGTACAATACTCATAAGTATAAACACACGGATTAATAAGAAAAAGAAATAGTTTGAGAAAAATAAAGAAGAACTATTTTAAAGCTCGTAGATTTCAATCAACTGTCATAGGCTAAAAAACATTAGAAATTTTTTTCTTTCAAAAATCTAATTTTTTTTTAATCGATTTTATAAAATTCCACGCCCAACGCCGGGCACTTCAGTGTAATATATATATTTATATAATCACTATACTTAAAAATTGCAAAACGTTGAGAGTGGTGGAGCTGAGGAGAGAACTGGAGAGTACTGGATTTTAATTTTTGGAATCTCCTTCTAATATTTAGATACATCGTAACACAATAAATCCTTGTTACAGGGTGTAGTTGCTTTATCAGCTATATATGCATGCAGGGTGTCCTACAAAAACTGTTGTGGTAGCTAGAGCCACAATTTTGGACCAATATTGACGATCATTGACGTTTTTTATATTTGATTAAAATTTCTGCTCAAATGGGGTAAACTATAGAGCCCCACACCATTCTCGTAGCAAATCTTATTCAAGTTTCAAGTTTTGGTATTCCTCTGATATAAATTAAGGGGGATGGATGGTCTGCTAGATCTCCAGAACTCAATCCTTGCAATTTATACTTTTGGGGTGATATCTAAGGAATATTGAAGTCTATTTCTTCTAGCTTTTAGGTCGCTTCGTGCTCATTTTTTATTTCAATTATGAACATGTTCTCTTTGTGTAAATTACATTGTAAAACAAAACAAACAAAACTTTAGCGGATTTATAAAAAAAAATTTCGTGAATTTAAAAATTTTTTTTCGAATAGAATTTTGTTAGAGGCAAGTTTTTGAAAATTTCGATCATCTATAAACCATCCCTGGGGTCACGCGACGTTCCACAAAAAAGTTGGGCCCGATCGTTTCAACCGTTTGGACGTTTATTAAATACAAACAAACAGAAAAGCAAAGTATATATGGAAAGAATCATGAGGTCTATATCTAAGGAATCATGAGGTATGTATCTAAGGAATCATGAGGTCTGTATCTAAGGAATCATGAGGGTTTGTATCTGAGGAACCATGAGGTCTAAACCTAAAGAATCATGAGGTCTATATATAGAAAATGTCTTACTCCAATGAGTTCTATTAATATGTATCATACAGATACAACTCGTGCTGACTATCAACTATAATACTCAGTCAGATATGACGCTCTTGTATCCCTTAATATGTATCGTACAGTTACATCTCATAGTGACTATCAGATATAATACTCAGTCAGATATGAAGCTCTTGTATCCCTTAATATGTATCGTACAGATACATCTCAATCTTGAACTCAAGGTTTCTCAATAGTACTTTAGTTTCAATATCAATTCGAATACGACTTTATCTGTATTCTCAGGTATCTATCTTACAAGATACAACTCATTCTCGTACCTGAGACAAATGATCTTGTTCAACTTACTATATTTTCTTTGTATTCAATTAATGAACGCAGATGATTATAGATAATCTTAACACGCAGTGCATAGATACGAATATATGGTTTTACGTAGTTAAATTCATGAACGTAATTAGGGTATAGTGTTATCACATAATAAAAATAGGGATGTTCAGGTTTACAAATATGGGGCTTATTACGAAATTTATTACATATATCCATGGCATCATTAGGTCTATATCTAAGGAATCATGAGGTCTGTATCTAAGGAATTATGAGGTCTATATCTAAGGAATCATGAGGTCTATATCTAAGGAATCATGAGGTCTGTATCTAAGGAATCATGAGNCCTTATCTGTGGGACATCACGTGACCACAGGGAAGGTTTATGAATGATAAAAATAAAATAAAAATGTGTTTTAAAGGTTTTTAATTTTTAAAAAAATTTAAATTCTTGAAAATCTGCGAATTTTTTTTTTATATCTGCAAAAAATTTTTCTTCTTTGTTTTTAAATGTAAACAAAAAGAACATGTTCACAATTTAAATAGAAGATGGGCGCGAAGCGCCCTAAAAGCCTAGTATTATAAAAATGATAGATTAAGTCTTTAAATATATTATAAAAATGATAAATTAAGTCTATACATAAAAACAAACATTCTTTTAAAACTATTAAGAAAAATTGCAAAGAAAAATTTATAAAAAATCTGTAAAATAAAAAATATCTAAAGTGATATAAAAGAAGATGATAAATAACTTTAATGCAGAGTTTACACAGACAGGACAAAGAAATCCAGACATTTATGGAAATTTACAATACTGGGTCAACTTAAGAGTGTCGGAACGCCTTAGTCTTTGAAGTTAACTCATTAACTCGCTTGTACTTTTTTGTAGCACTAAACATGTACGTTTTAGAATTATAAGGCACTTGTTTTTTGCTTTAGTTTTTAGCAAATAGCTTCTAGTACAATAGATGGCAACGTAGAATTTGTACACTCTCAGTACAGCTGTATTCTTACGTCACAAGTGTCAATTCAGTTTTTTTGTCCAACAAAATTTTTAATAAAAAATAATCCCACAGTAAAATAAGTGCAGTTTTATATGTAATATATTTTCAGTTTTTACACTTTTTAATATAATATTGGAAACATGACAACTAATGTGAGAAAATTTCGTTTTCCTTGTTATATTTGACACATGTGACGTTGTGTATAATTGTTCCATTTTTCTGTTGCCACCTATTGTACTTGATAATCTATTTAGATTTAAGAAGTGATTGGCAAAATTATTGTCGACTTTTGTGTGAAAGCTTGCAACCTTTACCTAACTGAAAGGAGTTGACAAGAAATGTCTAAAAGAGACTTTTAACGTAATTTCAAGTATTTACAGAGTACCATTTCCGATTCACAACGGTACTCTTTACACCGTTGTCTGATTAAGAATGAATGAGCTATCTTTGATTGTGGGTTCTTTTTAAAAATGACTTGCGGATTTATACTGCAAAGTCAATGAAGGAAAATTTACAATATTAGGCTTTTAGGACGCTTCGCGCCCATTTCCTTTTTGCATACATTGTAAAACAAAAACAAACAAAAAATTGCGGATTTTATCAAAAAAATTTTTGGACTTTTGAAAATTAAATAAAAATCGAATTTTGTTGGAGACAAATTTTTGAAACCATCCTTGGGGTCATGTCGGTCATGTTAGGTCCCACACAAAATTTGGGCCCGATCGGTTCAGCCGTTTTGACGTTTATTGGATACAAAAAAAAGACAAGCAAAGTATATATATAAATAGATTCAAATGTTTTTTTTTTTATAAAAAGCGATTTGAGGATTCATGCGATAAAGAGAAGAAATACAATAATTAGAACTCAAGCTCGAAAACTACGATATCTTCCTCATTGTTGCTCAGATATAGATTTAAAGATGTTGACAGTTTTCTAATTTCTTGCAGTGTGCAAAAATTTTTAATCTGAAAAAAGATACGAAGTAAATAATATCTAAATCATTTCATATTTCGTTTTGGCCTTATTTGTAGGGTTGATAATCGTTAGTTTTTTTTTATTTCTCAATAAACTTCCAACAATTTAGAGCAGCTGTATTAGGTTAATGTTTTCTTTTGGATAAAATTTCGATATTTTTATCCAAAGAGAAAAAAAGGAAAATATCACAAAATAAGCAAATCATAAGAATAAGCAACTTTGAAATTTGTAAAACTACTTAAAACTTTTAAAAGTATTAAAAACCCGAATCAAAGCCAATAACTACCAGACTTATATTTTCCTAGCTTGGAAACCCGGCCTTGCACAGTTTACTCATAGTTACTCCCGCCATTTACCCGCGCTTGGTCTTAAATAACGACTTTAGCCATTTTTACCTATAAAAGTCGTCCCACTCAATTTAGAATCTTAAAGCCAAGCTAAAACATTTCCGTGGTTTTGCCGAGTTCCCCCAATCAAAATTTGAAGCAAATCGGTAATGGGGGTCCTGAGTTATGATCGGACATTTAACAAACAAACAGAGATTACTACTTTACAAATATAAATACCAGAGCAAAATATTTTCTGAGGGCAAACTTATATATTTCTAATACGTTTATTTCATCTTTGTCTGCTGGGGGACTTCTTCAAAAAAATGTCAAAAAACGAGAAAAAAAATTATATTATATATGTTTAAAAAAATAGGGGTTTGCTATTACTATTTTAGCTTTGAACTCTGAAATTCGCCATTTTAAATCGTTTTCCAATTTTCGCGGATTTTTCTCTTCAAATAAGTGCATTTTTAAAAATGATAAATTTCGTCATGTGAGTTGCCTCAAAAAATTTGGACACGATCGTTTTTTTTCGTTTATTGATACAATCAAACTGGCAGACAAGCAACGTATATATATATAAAAGAAATATTTTAGCTATGACAAAATACCGTTTACTAAGATATTCAGACATGATTAAACATAGATTATTTATAATTCGATTTTCAGATTAGAATATTTCTTAGACCAATTAGTTCTAGATGTATGGCGCCCGACAAAACAGGATTCTTTTCAAAATAAATTGGGTTTTCTGAATTCCGCCAAATTTACAGTTATTTCAAAAGCAACAAAATTTCGTCATGGGCACGGGGTGAGTGAGTCCCCCAAAATTCTACCTTTAACGGTTTCGCTGACGTAAAAGCTCCCCCCCCCCTTCGCCACTTCCTTGGCTAGCTGGAGCGGAGTGTGTGTGTCTGTGTGTTTGTCTGTGTGTTTAAATGTATATATGAGTTAGTGCCGGGTATGGCTAGTACCAGTCTAACATGTGGCTTGAAGCAGGCCTAATCCTAGGCCTTGTCGGCCTTCACACCTCTAGGCAGCAAACCAGAAGGAATACAAGTTCAAAACTTTAATTACCGATTTCTTGGGTCTTTTCGATACTTCTTCATTTACGCGTTAAAGTTACTGAAAATTAATCTTTTTCGATGTCTCTTTATTCGCGCGTTTAAGTTACCTTCACCGCTATAATTTTGAATTATGAATTTACATCAAAGTGAGTTTACTTTATAAGTGACGTCTGAGGCGTGTAAAAAGTGTTGTTAAAAAGTGGAAAGTGAATTAAAAAAAATGTTAGAAAATGTGACTCAGTTTAAGATATTTTATCATCTTTTATTAGTTTTTTTAAAATCTTTTTTATTTCTTCCAATTTTACCCTTCGCCCTTCTTTCTCATATTACATTCAATTACTCACTTTTTAAAACAATTTCCTTGTCGTTATAATGTTTTCTTTTCTTCTTTTTATTTATCTTCTTTAGCAATGTACATCTTGTTCTACCTTTTTCATTTTATTTATGTGTCATTAAACAATTCCCCTTGTAAGCGTCTTTCCTATACTCTCCTCTTTATCCTGAATTAGCTGCAGATATGAATGCTGGAAACATAAATTCTAGAAAAGTATCCTGGATAACTTTTTCCCACCTTTTCTTCTTTTGATTTTCTTTTAACTATTTTATTTCTAAAATTCTCATTTTTTATTTTAGAATTTTGCTTTCTTTTTTGTTTTTTATATTTCACCCCATGGACCAACACTGCAACGTATAGTTTTTAACAAATAAAAACTGGTTTCCAAGAGATATCCCGGGTTTTATATAAACTACTCAATCCGCAAAAAAATTCCGGTTTTAATTCGCGAGTTAAAAAAAAAACGTTTCTCAACCTTTTTTAATCAACGGTTATTTCTATCTGGATTTGGACAAATTTCGGTCATTTTCCTGTTTTTTCTGTAAAATATTGAAATTCAAATTGTTGAGAATCCACAATTTTAAATTTATATCTTTCATTGTCTATTTGTTTTTTTTAGTGTGCCATTTTCTAACCTTCATTTTCATTTTTTACATACCATTCTTTACCTTATACCATTTTCTCTATACAATTTTTATTTTTCAATGTTTACATACCTTTTTTATCCTTTCTTATAAAAAATATTGCCATATTTCTACCAAAGCAAAACCATTTTTCTACCAAAAATAAAACAATTTTTTTACAAATAAACCCATTTTTTTTACAAAAAAAATATTTTTTGGTTGGTGATATTTTGTTCAGTTATATTCTTGGACATTATATTTTTTGTTATCATAGTATCGGCATGATAAATAATAAAATATACGATTTTAATATAACATGGTTTACATATTCAAAAAATTTACTGTACAATGCTATACATATTATATCAGAGCATTAGATCTTTTAAAAAAATTTAAAAACAATGATTTTCCTGACTAAGTATTTTAAATACGACTTAGCATATTTTTGTTAATTAAAAGATTTTTAAATAGTTTTAAATAGCGACTTACACTGACAGTTACAGTGTATACACTGTAATTCAGTCTATAGGAACTTGTCTAGTTTTGTCTAATTAATTATTAATTGTCTCCTTTTTGAAAAATTACCATGTTCAATTTTGATATCTCTTGGATTAAAAAACGTCTTATTATCCACATTGTTTTTACGCCCTCTGTACGTTGTTATAAAGGGGTAATTTCCAAATTTAAAAAAAGGAAATTTGGGCTCCTTAATTCATATTCAAAATCCTAGAAGAAAGATGTAACGTTCACGGTTGTTTTTATCTTTTAGTTTTAACAGAGCTGAAAGCTTTAGAATGGTGGATATTGAGATTAATGCCTGATCCTCTCTTTTTCATATTAATTAATCTAATCGTGTACTTGTATCCTGAAAAGTGTATAAATTTCAACCAATCAGAGTCGCGTATATGAAGCTGATAAATTTGAAATTTTGGGCGCCATTTAAGATTATTNACGTGATGTCCCACAAAAAATTTGGGCCCGATCGGTTCAGCCGTTCTGACGTTTATTGTGTACGCAGGTTTTACACGAATCATAATTTAAACTCAAACTTTAAATTTAAATCTTGCACAGAAAATAATTGTTTTTGTAAATTGGTTTAATTTGGCAAAGAAATGGAATTTTAATTTACTTGAGACAATTATTTCAATTTAATGGTTTTAGTTCTGAGATTTAATGTTTTTCATACAATAAAGATAACGTTTGTGTGGTTAAATGAAGATTACATAAACAAAGAAAACAATGTGTATTTAGAGTTTTTTCCTTTTTAACTTTGAACTTTTTTTTTTGTGAGCAGAGCAGATGAAGACGACAGTATAACTGAACAGCTGATGCATCAGCTGTTTGGGAACAGTATTCGCCAGTCATTTCCAGAGTCGACATGCCAGGTATACCACTTTTGGAATTTAATCAATTTCACCTTGGGATATCGTAGTATATATTTTTATGTCAGATGCACAATTCTCTTATTCTTAGATTGAATACATGGACATTGTTGGCGGAGATATTAACGATGGACGTTTATCCGGTCAGCAAGCGAAGTCTCCCCGCCACTGTCAGAAGCGTTGTCAAGATGTTCTTGGTTGCAGTTTCTTCTCCTGGGATCGGTTTACTGGTGGTTGCTGGTTAAAGCGTGCTGATGGCCTCCGAATCCCGCATCCCAAGATGATCATCGGTCCTAAGTTCTGCACTGGAACAATGACATCCAATCCCCACACACCCCAACCCAAGGAACCATGTGCTTTAACTACTACAGCTCAGCCTTGCGACTTCGCTGCTCCCTATCAGACCATGTCAGGACAGTGTAACAGCATTACAAACCCTCTTTGGGGAGCAGCGCATACTCCGTTCTCCCGGCTAGCAGCTTCACAATACGGTCCTGATAATCAACCACGTGGCACAGGTACAGTTTAAAACAGGTGGAAACCACATCATATAATGCCATAATATAGATTACATGAGGTCAGCGATTTTGTATTTTAAATCCTTTCAGAAAACACTAATCCGTATCTCATTTACACAGTTTGAAGTGCTTGATTTCTTAAGTTTCTGCTCTGGATTATGATATCAGGATTAGCTTCAAGTACAAAAGTTATGCCCACTGTGGTCGGCGTTTGTGTCAATAACACGACTTTTCAATTAACAAGTTTACAAGCTTTTAATTGACAGTCCCTCTTTGTTTCCATGTTTACGTGTATACTATCCATGGTGTTCGAAAGCTTTGTAGATACAAATCGAAAGTCGTCTTTATTGTATTGATATATATACGAAGACGACTGTATGACCCGATTTTATTGATAATTATGTCATGGCATCCGGCAGTGTGCATAAAAAAATGCAAAGCAAAGATCCGGGGTTTAAGATAAAAAACATGCCTTGTCATTAAATCACTTGATGTAGAGTCCTTGGCTTAATGCACATGGCAAATTACTGGATAATCAACCAATTATGATGTATAACAGAAAATACACAGAAATATGTTTTTTGCTGTTGTTGCAATTTAAAATTCTTGAAATTACACAAAGCATGGATGAATAAAAACCTTGTGACAACAAAAATCTCCAGTCAATAATTATTCAGAAACAAACTTTTATATTAAGAGATAAACAAACAGTCATAGATTTATCTTAATCTGCTTATATACATTTCTTTAAATTCTTTAAAAACCACGGTCTGAAAATTTATTTGGTAAATATATAGACTTCAAATGGTATAACATGCGATGATTTGGCAAAGGAAAAAAAACATTTTTCAGCAGCAGGGAACAATGAATTTTTTTTACATAAAAAGCGTTCGTGAAGTCGTTTTTGAAGTCTAATCCTTTTTGGGTAACCCTGCATTGCATTGTATATATTTATCCTCCAATCGATAATTGTTGTATATAGCTGTATATGTATACAATATACATCCACCTTAATTTATCCATAAATTCATAACTCCATCCATAAATTCACAAATCCATCCATAACTTCGTTTTCATACCTAATTTCATGTATCAATCCATATATTAAGAAACTCTTAATTAGTTTCAATGTATTAATTTCCATCGAATTAGGGATCTTTCGATCTATCGAGCTAATAGTTGTTGATCTATTGATAAATCAATTGATCCATTGAACTTTTAATCTATCGATCTATCGATATTTTATTCTATCCATCTTATGATCTATTAGATCTTTTGATCTATTGATCTTTTGATCTATCGATCTTTTGATCTATCGATCTTTTGATCTATCGATCTTTTGATCTATCGATCTTTTGATCTATCGATCTTTTGATCTATCTATCGATCTTTTGATCTATATCGATCTTTTAATCTACTGATCTTTTGAACTATCTCGATCTTTTGATCTATCGATCTTTTGATCTATATCGATCTTTTAATCTACTGATCTTTTGAACTATCTATCTTTTGATCTATCGATCTTTTGATTTATCGATCTTTTGATCTATCGATCTTTTGATCTTTCGATCTTTTAATCTATCGATCTTATGATTTATCGATCTTTTTAACTATCGATCTTTTGATCTATCGATCTATTAATTGCTGCAAACTTTTTAACTAGTTAACATTCTATGAATCTATCTATGTATCTATGTTACTATCTATCTATCTAACTATCTATGTATTGAAGAAAAAGATGTCCCCTATCAGTAAAATATCTAAGTTGTATAGAAGGTGCCCCACTAAACCTGCTTTTAAAAGTTTAAAATGTTGAACCCGGAATTTTAAACTAAAATCTAGATAATCCAAATGGCGCCCATTTGACGTGAATAATGATTAAAACATTTAAAACGGTAAAACCTCTTTTTCAGCTTTTGTCAAGAATTTTAGTCTCAAAAAACATAGGAATAAGATCACGACATATAAATTGGTTTTATCTTCAAAAGTTTACAAATCTGAAAGTTGTTGAGAATTTGGTTGTGAAACTTCTGAGCTTTCTAAAATGTTTCTGTTGCTGTTGACAATTTAAGTTTTTAACACAAATTTCATAATTGATTTTGAATTACAAAACCGGCGATTACATTTTGTAAAGCCCAATTCAGGGGAATATGATGCTTATTGGCTATCTATCATTTTTATAATTATCTTTATAATTTTTACTACAAATGCCAACACTGCACATTCTTGATTTTTACTTCCACTCTCCCATCCCCCGCCCCACATTGGGGTATCAGGGGGGGGGTCAATAATATTGAGTTTACACTATAAACCTCTTTACAATTTTATTTTGAATCCTCAATTACTTTTTGTAGCGAAACGCCAATTAAAATTATTAATTTTTCTTATGAAAAACAATAAAATTCTTGCTAAAAACAAATGTTCACAACCGTTTAGACTCATCATTTAAACGGTCTCAATAGTTGATGCGTGATATTCACAACCGTCTAGACCAATCATTTAAAAAGTCTTATTTGTAGATGCATGATATTCACAAACGTCTAGACCCATCAATTCGATCTCAACAGTTAATCCGTGATATTAACAACCGTCTAGACCCATCAATTAATGGTCTCAATAGTTAATGCGTGATATTCACAATCGTCTAGACTCATCATTTAAACAGTCTGAATAGTTGATGCTTAATATTCACAACCATCTAGACCCGTCAATTAACGGTCTCAATAGTTCATGTGTGATATTCACAACCTTCTAGAATCATCTGTTAAACGGTCTCAATAGTTGATTCGTGATATTCACAACCGTGTAGACCCGTCAATTAACGGTCTCAATAGTTCATGTGTGATATTCACAACCGTCTAGACCCGTCAATTAACGGTCTCAATAGTTCATGTGTGATATTCACAACCGTCTAGAATCATCTGTTAAACGGTCTCAATAGTTCATGTGTGATATTCACAACCGTCTAGACTCGTCTTTTAAACGGTCATTGCAAAATAGACGGGTAAGGCGGAGATCTCTTTTTAAATATTGTACTTTTGATGAAACATAGAAATCTAACCAATCCCAGTATGCTACGAGGATAGGGCCGGACCGGTACAAATTTAGTAATTTTTCATAATCCCTGACATTCTGAAATGGCACTGCGGTATCAATAGTTGATGCCTGATTTTTACAACTGTCTAGATCCTTGTGATCATAGTTGGTTGGTTTCACTTGAAATTGTATTCAGTGTTTCNTCTATCTATCTATCTATCTATCTATCTATCTATCTATCTATCTATCTATCTATCTATCTATCTATCTATCTATCTATCTATCTATCTATCTATCTATCTATCTATCTATCTATCTATCTATCTATCTATCTATCTATCTATCTATCTATCTATCTATCTATCTATCTATCTATCTATCTATCTATCTATCTATCTATCTATCTATCTATCTATCTATCTATCTATCTATCTATCTATCTATCTATCTATCTATCTATCTATCTATCTATCTATCTATCTATCTATCTATCTATCTATCTATCTATCTATCTATCTATCTATCTATCTATCTATCTATCTATCTATCTATCTATCTATCTATCTATCTATCTATCTATCTATCTATCTATCTATCTATCTATCTATCTATCTATCTATCTATCTATCTATCTATCTATCTATCTATCTATCTATCTATCTATCTATCTATCTATCTATCTATCTATCTATCTATCTATCTATCTATCTATCTATCTTTACATATTTATCTATCTATCTATGTATCTATCTATATATCTATCTTTACATATCTATCTTTCCATATCTATCTAACGATCTATCTATCTATCTAGGGAGCAGGTAAATACAGTATCTGCGTTCCTAGATGCTTCCCAACTGTACGGTAACGATGATGCTAGAGCAAAATCTATTCGAACACTTACAGGTAACTCCAGTACTGTACATACACTGTATATATACTGTACATATACTGTATATATACTGTACGTACACTGTATATATACTGTACATACACTATTTAAATGTTTCACATTAAAGGGACAGTAAAGGAAAAATGAAAGGGGGTATAGGCTGAAAGCTAATCACTTTAGCTCTTGATCGTATATATTTGACACAGTTTTATATCAATTTCTCGAGACAGGAACATCAGATATAACTTTCATGGGTCGCGATCAAGAGCTAAAGTGATTAGCTTTCAGCCTATACCCCCTTTCATTTTTCTTTACTGTCCCTTTAATTTCACTAGAAATAATATTTTATTGGAGCAGTCCAAGGCTGTGTGGGGTTGGAGTTGTCTAGATTTTAAACTGAGTGAACGTATACGTTTGTCCACAGCGCAAGAACCGCCAAAAAAAGTTCTCTTAAAGAAGTCCCAGCAACCTAAAACTCAGGACTTAATTTCCAGTAACATTTTGTCCTAGGACTTTTTTATTCCAGGTTTTTTTCAGATACATTGTTTCCTTACATTGATTCATTCACAAGAAACGACTGTAAACTGTAAAGTGTATTGGAGTGTAAATAAACTCTAACACTCATTCTCCGCCTTTGGTAAAAGTAAATTCAATCTATATGAAGCATAAAGTCTGACCGCGTCAACCGTATTGCACCGGCTGTCCTGTCCATAGAGCCAGGTAAAGTACAAACCGGGACCGGAAAGGTTGACCCGACTCGGAAATTCAGATCTACTACGGCTGCCTGTGCTAAACGTCTACTATTTTGCCAATTGTTACTTTATATATATTTGTTGTACAATATTTAAGTAAAAGTTTGCATCTTTATTGTACACATGTACACAGATGTAGATACGGTTAATAATAACATGATTGGTAGAAATGCATATGCTAGAATTCATTCAGGAGGAAGGTTGGTTGAGAACACTGAGAGAGCCGGTCATCTTCCAACTAAACAACAGCTTAGCAGGATCTCAGATCATTTAGGTAAGCTTAAAGGGACTGTAGACGTAATTTTAGTTGACTTTAAAGGAAGTTTATTCAAAAATCAGATTGCATTTTTAAATAAATATTTCTAGGCCTAATAATACGTATAAGTTAGTTTGTGAGGAAAAACTTAAGACCAAGGCGTTGCGACACTTTAAAGTGGAGGCTGTCTAAAAATTTGATGGCTAAACTATCAGAGTTGTCTATATTTCAGTGGATTAGATAAAGAATTGATCTGAGATAGTAATTATTGATGCATTTAAGCAAGGTACTAATGCAAGGAAAGTTATTTCAGAGGTGTACGCATTTTTTGTACTGCAGTGTACTGTCTTTGGGCGGAAAAGTAAACATAAGACGTATGTCACAGTTCGACATAGAATCCATTTTCACAAAAATAATCAATGAAATATTCTGGTCATAGGAAACTATTATGTGAATTATCAAAATTATCAAAATTAAATGCTTATAACCTCCTCGGATACTAGACGAACACTGATGCATCTATTCTTGTTTACAAATTCCGCCCAGAGAGAGAACTGGTTTTAATATGTACGCAGAGTATACGCAACTGCAATTAACTTTCCTTGCATTTAAGCAAGGCACGGTTAATACTGCACTATGTCCGTACTTTACAAGAGAATTAGTCCTTTCCTATCTACAGTATTGCTACTTCAAGCTATTCAGTGACTCCACACTATGGTTTCAGTAGAAGCAAATATTTTCATTTACTGATATAATATAAGATATGTAAGGATTTACCTCTAATGATGAGATAAATGGAAAGATAGATGTTACCGCCATGCAATTTCTATTAGTTCAGAATAGACACCAAATACATTACTGAACCCTGATTGGATCAGGCACTAATGGACTCGGCATACTAGACTTTTTTGTAGAGTTTGAATTATTTTACAAAAGATAAAGGAATATAATTCCTTTAAAGTTTGTTTTATCTTCACAAAGGAAGTTTTTTGGGTACATTCTTTTTAATTTCTTATTTTTCCGAACCAAGTAGTTTTCCTAACAAAAATCTTTATATTTCTACGTAAATTTGTTTAAATTTTTCATATCTTTATTGTATTTACATTGGAAAAAAAATAATGCTGTTTTTCCAATTAACAACTCAGTTATGAGTTATAGAAACATTAACAAGTTTTTTTAATCAAAAAAGTGTTATTTTTTTTAATAGATGATCGATTTGATTTTGTGGCCGGGGACAACAGGGTGAACGAGCAACCTTTCCTCACCTCCATGCACACCCTCTTCCTCAGGGAGCACAACAGGTTCGTTGGAATCCGGGAAATATATATATATTTTTTTTTTAATCCGGGAAACATTTTTTTAATTTAAATCCAGAAAATATTTTTATTTTTCAATTGTTTAATTAGCTGGGTCGAGTTCAAGGTCATTAAATAAATATACAGGGTTCCCTCTAAGACTTTACACATTAATCTCACCAAGGTTATAATGCATGGAAAGTTATTTCAGAGGTGTACGCATCTTTTGTACTGCAGCGTACTTTCTCTGGGCGGTAAAGTAAACACAAGACGGATGTCACAGCCTGACATGGGATCCATCTTTCACATAAAAAATCAATGAAATATTCTGGTCAAAGGAAACTATTAAATTAATTATCAAATTTTTCTAAATTTAATGCTTTTATACTCCTCGGATACTAAACGAACACTGATGCATCTATTCTTGTTTACAAATTACGCCCAGAGAGAACTGCTTTCAATATGTACGCAGAGTATACGCAACTGCAATTAACTTTCCTTGCATTATAACCTTAAATCTCACTAGAATTGTGTGTACTCTAAAGTCTGTATGCATACTGTACACGCTTCTTCAGTTTTCAGCATTAAGGGTTTGTTATCTGTATCGCACTATAGTTTCATGTCGTCCTTAAAAGTCTTATCTATTGTTGGTAACCCTGTATAAAGCTATAATCTAATCATTTACATCTAAATATTTAATCAAATTCGATTTTATCTATTATTATCTATTATTTTATCTATTAATCTAGAACCATTAGAAAAGTGTAGTATTTACCTTTTAAACAATGGTAGATAAAAATACAATGAAGAAAACTTTTTATTTAAATTTTGATTGTTAACAAGTTTTTTTGGCAGCTTCTCTTGACCAATATGTTTATGTGCATCCATTCATGTTTAATTCTAAATTAAAATCGAAAGTCGTCTCCGTTGTATTGATTTAATCGCCTACCAATGTACAAAGAGTGATGATTCCTAAAATTATGTCCTTTATGGCTAAAAATTTTGTGTCAAGTTTTGAACTTTTATTGGACTTAGTACAGTGAACTTTTTTCGTTAACACAACTTTCATTGGTCTCCGTCATTAATATATCTTTTTTTGTCATTAGCGCAAATATGATATTATTTAGAAATAGAATATTTAATGGGGGCTTAGTCTCCATAGCCCCCTCCCCCTCTAAACACCCCTGATAGCTATAAAAGGTTAAAAATTGATGAAGCATTCTTTACAAGGTGAAATAAAAAGAAGAGGGGGCAGATGTTAAAGACCGTTGCGCTCCGAATCTATAATTGATTAATTTCTTTGGTTTTATATATTTGTTTTGTTGTGAAGGCTGGCGGGAATACTAGAGCGTGAACTCAACACAGCCAATGATGAATTAATCTATCAGTCCGCCAGGTAAAGTACAGTACAGTACAGTACAGTACAGTACAGTACAGTACAGTACAGTACAGTACAGTACAGTACAGTACAGTACAGTACAGTACAGTACAGTACAGTACAGTGAATTAGATTGGTTCGTTGTGGGTTAGATTTTTCCCTTTATTGTCATTTACGGTCAAAATTTGGCACAATGTTGGAATGCAAAGTTTTCATAATTGGCTTCTCTTACAATATGCCAAAACAAACCAAAAACGACCCAAAAACTAACGTGTTATAACGATTGTTTTTCGATCGTTTTTTTTCTTCATTTTTTTCATGATAAAAATTTGGCCTCAAATTGGATTCCATTGGCCATAAAAAAAAGAAAGGATTAAGTTAAAAACTAAAATGAGTTTTTGATCTTTATGTGGGATAGAAAAGTCAAGATAAAAAACAGACCAGCTTTTTGGAAATTTCAGATCCAAGTAAAAGGTTCGGTGGGAGTTTAAAACAAGAACTTTTGATAAACTTTTTGAATGTGCAAATATATTTAGTTTATATACTTTTAAGGTTTTAATTTTATTTTTAGGAAATTGGTGATAATTGAACTTCAGAATATAATCTACAAGGTACATATATATATATATATTTCATGCTATTACCGAATCTTGTGCAATTTAATATTTAATTTTATATTCCTGTATTGTCTCAACCCTAGCATATGCTGCATGAAGTTGGCATTTTTGCATATTTTTAGCAATATGCGGTTTCTGATTATGCAGATTTAGATGTAGGAATTCAAAATGGCGGACAGTTTAGTTCCTGGTTCGTCCACCAGGATTAGTTCCTGGTATTAAGGATTCATTCAAACTTTGAACCTTTTTCTATCAGGAGTTCTTGCCTCTGCTACTGGGGCGGAGAACAGCGGACAAGTATAAGCTGACAATTGAACCTGAGACTACTGTCTACAACCCGGCAGCTAATCCTAGTGTTCTAAATGAATTCGCCACTGCTGCCATGAGATACGGTCATTCTATGATCAACAGTCTGTTTAAGGTAATTATCAAGATCAGGATTAAGATCAGGATCAAGATCAGGATCAAGATCAGGATCAAGATCAGGATCAAGATCAGGATCAAGATCAGGATCAAGATTTATTGTCTTTATTTGGCAGAAAAGGACAAGTAAGACAAGAAAAATTAAGAAGAAAAACAATGTTGGAAAGTTAAAAATTGTGCTCTGCTGTCTAGGGCTCCTGAATCAGAACGCCCAGAAGGTTGATGGTAGTTTTGCAGATGAACTGACAAACCATCTTTTTCAAGAACATTCCCCTAAAAAACAAACCAAGGTAAAATAGTTCAGTTTAAAGACAATTTAAAGGGACTGTTCGTGGAATTTTAAAGATGCCAAAGTCCGATTTCCAATGGTACGCTTGAAACCTTCATCCGATTGATAATGTGGAAGATATCTTATGCTGATAATTTTCATATGTTTTTCTGCAGTAGCAATGCGCAAGTCACTTTTGTTGAAAAAATATAATTAAAAATAATCGGGTTTTAAAATTATAAATAGTAATATTTATCTAATTCATACTTGATCGGACTAAGCTTTTAAGGGTCCCGTTGTTAATCAGACATTGCCATCTTTGTACTAATAAACACAAGATTGTTTAAATGTCGTCTTTGCATTTAAAAGATTTATAATTCATGATTATCGTCATACTTTTGTGCGTCCTTAAAGCTGGTTTCACAATCTGCGTCTACAATTTTGCCACCTCAATGTGCGTCCTCAACATGCGTGCTCAATGTGCGTCTTTAATATGGGTAAAAATTTGCGTCCTCGATTTGCATCCACTACTTGTGCATTCAAAATGTGCGTCCTTAATTTGCGTCTTCACTATGCGTCCTCAATGTACGGCCTCAATTTGCATAATTAATGTGCATCTTAAATGTGCGTCCTCAATGTTCATCTTAAATGTGCGTCCTCAATGTTCATCTTGAATGTGCGTCCTCAATGTTCATCTTAAATGTGCGTCCTCAATGTTCATCTTAAATGTGCTTCCTCAATGTTCATCTTAAATGTGCGTCCTCAATGTTCATTTGAAATGTGCGTCCTCAATGTTCATCTTAAATGTGCGTCCTCAATGTGTGTCCACAACTTGTATCCACAATATGTGCAGCGACAATGTGAGACCTTAATGTGCATCTAAAATGTACCTCAATAATGTGCGTCCACAATATGTGCATCCATGAAATATATGTAAGCCTCTAGCTACATTATATCACCAGTTCAGTCAACGATTTGTATTGATATATATGGTGACCAGTGTCCGAATTTAATGAATTTGAGCCGCCGCCGAAATCTGCCAAAAACCGGTTTCAATTGAGCGCCGGCTTAAATCTTGAAAAATTGATTGCAATTTTAAGTGGAACCAACCATATTTGAGCCTTCTTTAAATTCGGCTTGTGGATATGAAAACTGAATATTGTAGTTTGGAGGTGATCTAGTAGCTAGAAACCTACAGAGAGGAAGAGATCATGGACTAGCTGACTACAATACATACAGGTACTTACTTGTACTGCATAGATGTACATTATAATGTACTTGTACTGCATAAATGTACATAATAATGTACGTGTACTGCATAAATGTACATTATAATGTTCTTGTACTGCATAATGTACAATATATTTTACAACGTATTTGCACTGCATTATACAATGTACTTCTTCTGCATAAACGTACCATACATTGCATAATGTACTTGTACTGCATAGATATACAATACATTATACTTGTACTGCATAGATGTACATTGTACAATGTAATTGTATTGTAAGTTATTCAAGGAACTTATTTCTCGTCAAAAATATTATTTTTTTTTCCCCTAAATATATTTTACATCATAATATTGAAATTTTACGTTAGAATTCACTGTTTAACATATCAAAGGTGCACAACATCAGTGTCTGAATTTAATGAATCAAATCCCCCAAATTGACCGCCGGCTTAAATCTAGAAAAATTTAATACAAATTTAAGTGGAACAAACAATATTTGAGCCGCGGCTTAAATTTAAACCGCGGATCAATTTCTTTAAATTCGCCCTCAGGTTGCAAAGATAAGTTTCTACAAGCATGTTTACTGCAGGCCTCTTTACAATTTATACTATATTCAATGTGCACAAGACACTATCATTCAACAAAGAAAAGTCAGAAATGTTTTACAAGGAAAAATAGTAAATATATCAACTTGGGTTTTAGGGCGCTTTGCGGACGCTTCCCGATGAGCAATTTTAGCGTTTTACTCTGAAAGTCGCCATGTGCTTAATTTTTCTCAAAGGAATTGAGTCTTTGCCACAAACTCTGATTTTCCAACCCAACTCTATATCTTTGCAACCCAATCTCGTAGACCTTAGATATTTCAAATTATGAATTCTAATAGATCAAATAATCTAAGTTTGAAATATTAAAGGTTTACACCACCAGGTCGCGAAGAAATATGGACAAGAAAATTTGAGTTTGTGGCAAAGACTCAGTTCCTTTTCGCAAATTTTTCTGTTTAAAATGGTGTGTTTTCTAGGATAATATATTTCGACATTTTCTCCGGGCAAACTTTTTCAAATTGACCATCCCTTTCCTGGGATCATGTGAGGTTCCACAAAAAATTTGAGCCGGATCTGTTCAACCGTTTTGACATTTATTGGACACAAACAAACAAACAGACACACAGACAAGCATAGTATATATATAAATATATAGATGCACACCGATGTTATTTAAAAAAAAGGTTTGTTCTTGGTAGTGAGTAGTTTATGTACAAACTGTAAACAGATGAGTAGCAATAAAAACTGCAGTTTAATGCATGTACGCATGCTTAGAAGCATTGAAATCCCTGCGTAGAATGTGAGTAAGTGTGCCTGTATTTGCTCGTTTGTATGCGTAATGCGTAAGTGCAGGCCGGGGTGCATATACAATACTGGGTAGAAGTAGACGGGAAGGCAGACTTGTAAAACCAATATTTGCGTAGCAGATAGATAGATAGATAGAGAGATAGATAGATAGATAGATATATAGATCGATAGATGGATAGATAGATAGATAGATAGATAGATAGATAGATAGATAGATAGATAGATAGATAGATAGATAGATAGATTAACATGGCTTCTGCCAGTTAAATCTACATAAACCCCAACATTTTTTTGCAGGAAAATCTGTAATTTGCAACCCTTGACCTCGTTCCAGCAAATCCCTGCAGAAATTAAACCCGAGATTTGGCAAAGGTAAGTCGGAAAAAAACCTTTCAAATTAGCCATTCCAAGATAATTAGGCTGTTTAGGTGCGAACTGGATCCATAAAAATATATGTAAAATTATATGTAAAATTATATGTAAAATTATATGTAAAATTCATTCTTGATCAACGAAAGCTTTTAATGGTATCTGTATATCCATATAATTTGATATCTTTCTATCTGTCTAGGTTTCAATCCTTGTACAAGAATATAATTATCTATCTATCTATCTATCTATAATATTACACGTTACAAATGTTTTAAATATTCTAGGCCCAACCTTTAGCTGCATAATCGGTCTGCAGTTTCACAATTTAAAATACGGAGATAGGTAACACATTCATTTATTCATTCATTATTTCATTCACTTATTCATTTATTCATTCTTTATTTATTGCATTCACTCATTCATGATTGCATTCACTCAACCATGGATTCTGCCATTCATTTATTATTACATGCATCCTTTTATTATTTTTTTCATTCATTCATTATTGCATTCACTCAACCATATATTCTGCCAATCATTCATAATTACATTCATTCATTTATTCATTCTTTCATTCATTCGTTATTGCATTTACACATTTATTTATAAATTCTTTCGTTCACACAATATTAAATTCAATCATTCATTTACTATGCCATATTTTCATTATTGAATTAAATGATTCATTCATTCATTCTGTTACCCATTCACTTATTTATTTTTCCATAGTTTCTTTGCTTTTATTTTTTCATTCTCTCTTCCATTTCTCTTTCTATAATTTATTCATTCATTTTTTCATTTTGTTGAATTTTCATTTGGTTTTAATTCATTTAATTAATTTGTTTATTTTTTTTTCCATTTGTTTAATAATAAATGAATTTTTAGATACTTCTTTTCTCACAGAACCTCCAATCTTAACTATCTCAGCAAGTACATGAAGGTAATAAAAACAAATTTTTTTAAATTTAAATTTTAACAATTTTTATCCCGAAATGTTTCAGCAAATGGAAGAGCGAACCCTCTCTGATATCATTTGCGACAACACTTACATTAAAAACGTGCAAAAATGGTCAATGGAAAGCCCAAGTCCCACGAACCCTTTGCAAGAGTGCAGGCGACCACTTCAAGAAGTAAATTCAGTGGACGATTCTTTAGACGATTTACAACAGGCCCCCTTGGACGACGAGCAGACGAATTCCCCCCGCATTGGTCTAGAGTTGGATCCAGAAGCTTTGGAGAATACAGGTTCTCGTCAGAACCCTAGGTTTGAATCAAGCGAGGGAATTTCTAGCATTAATCCAAGTTTGAGAAATGCGGGAACTCTGGTAAATGTGCCGACACCAGAAACAGCTGATCTGGAACCAACAACGTCTTCCGGTGTTCTACCACCGGTGCAACAGCCTGGAAACATTCCACACACCACGAATCAAGGAAGAGTTCCAAAAGCGTTGGATTTTTCCGCACAAGCCCCCATCCCTTTCCTCCCAGGAGCCCAATTTAGAACCCCAAAAACTTCTTTTTTCGACGCCATCTTGAATCAGAGATCGAGTAATGGAGGCCAATTTCCTGCTGAAAATAAACCGGTTCGGTTCATCCAGGTGTTCGGCGAACAGGACGCCATTAGAAATCCGTGATTTCAGCGCAATCTTGTCAGCTAAATTATTTCAAGTGGCATTATGTAATTCTTATTTCTGGCGTAGTTGATGCCTATACAGTCCTTATTTCTAGTCTATTGTATTACTATGTTTGTTCCTGAAAGTTATAAATCATAACGCGGGATTTTGCAAAGGGAAGATTAAGCAATGGCAAAAATTCATAATTATATAATTTTTATTTTATCTTCTATAAAATTCTCCAGCTAATCCTCCTTTCCCCTTCTCCTTCACCTTCTTCTTCTCCTTCTCCTTCATTTTCTCTTTCTTTTTATTCTTCTCCTTTTCCTTCTCCTTCTCCTTCTCCTTGTCTTTCTTTTTCTCTTTATCCTTCTCCTTCTCTTTCTCTTTCTCTTTCTATTTCTCCTTTTCCTTCTCCTTATCCTCCTCCTTCTCCTTCCCCCTTTCCATCCCACCCTCCTCATCCAATTCTTACTCATATTATCTTCCCATCCTTACCATTCTCCTTACATGCACCCTCACACCCCACCCTTCCGCTCCTTTATCATCTTCTACTCCTCCTTCCCTTTTTTGAATTTTTAATATGTAATATTGTTACTGGATAAAAATCCTTTTCACATTACTTAAACGTAAAATCAAAACTAGAGGCGCTACGAGGTCACAATGTCCTTCTCCTTGTGTCCAGTTTCCAGTGATATACAATAATTTTGCCGTTAAATGATATTAATAACACGGACATACATGTTGAATCAGTATATCACCTTCAATTCTGTCAAGCTACCCCCCATCCCCCCAACACCAATTTTTGTCAAGTCATTCTACAGTTGACTTAAGTTATTGTCATCCTGATTTATAGACCATATAACTGGAGGGGGGGTACCCCTTCCGCATACTATTACTTTAAACCAGTATTCTTCCTCAAATGCTCTCTGATCAATATTCTTGTGTCCTTTCCCTTTCATCCCATTTTTCTCTTCTCCTCTCCTTTCCCCGATCAAACGTTTCCTTTCCTCTTTGTCCCTCGACCTATCCTTTCCTTTCCTGCCTTTCCTCTTCTTTCACTCTTCCCCTTTCAGTCCTGTCTATTTAAATCCTTTCCTTCTCCCCCCCCCCCCCCCCCCCCCCCCCCCCCC